TGGGAGATGTAGGTAGCACCAGATGTCACCGAGATAGAAACCAGTAGGTCACCGATATGGTAATCCAAAATGTCATCGAACAAGATCAAATGTCGCGGACAATAAGTCACCAATGTCGGAGATACAGAGTCCTAATGTAACCGGTGTCCAATCTGTGATGCAGCCGAGTATCATCCCCAACAATCTCCAAGTCTCGAACCCGGTAAGTACCACAGCCTCTTACCACCGAAGTCCAACACTGATCTCTGTCCAACTAGTATCAAGTCTCCAGTCTGAAGAAGAAGAAGAAGATGAAGTCTGAAGAAGAAGAAGAAGAAGAAGAAGACGAAGAAGAAGAAGAAATGAGATAGAGGAGGAGGAGGTGAGGAAGAGGGGAGCCAGGGACCGTGGAGGGAGGAGAAGACCTCACTCCCGGATACCTGGTCCGTCGCAACTGCCTGCAGCCGAAGTCGGCGATGGCTGTCCGCTGTCTGGCTGCTCTCCTCGGCGCTGCTGCCGTGCTAGTTCGCGCTGCTGCTGCTGCTGCTCCTGCGCTAAGAATAGCCCTGCTCCTCAACCGATACGCACTGGCATGATGTAGCATGTCGGTGGCTCGAGGCTGGTACCGGTATAAGTACCGGTGGCCAAGAGGCCGGCCTCAATGCTGCGAGGCCTGGCCGTGACCTGAACCGTCAAGATCGACGGTTCAGATCAGATCGGCGGGCGGCAGGCTCAAAAGCACCGCCAGGCCCAAAATGAGAATGTCGTTTGGGCCTGCCCGTCGGTCTGGTCCAAAAACGTGGCCTTTACGGCCTGCTGTACCCCAAGTCCGGGCCTTTAGGCCCTACTGTGTCCCTCTGGCCCTAAGTCAGGTCCGGTAGGACCCGTGTGGCGTCGAAGATGTAACACACTCCCCCTCTTAAAAGACCAAACAAGGAAAAGTTGCAATGACTTTGGATGTACTCATCTGCACAGTGACCTCGCTGTCGCACTAGGAGATCTTTTGATTTTGCAAATTGCTTGGCAGGTGGAAGTTACATGGCACTCTTGGCGTTGCGTAGAGGTCCTGTGGTGTTTGTTTAATTTATGGTGGCTTTGTGGGCCGACGCAGGGCATACTCACACTAGCATTTTTTAACTTTTCTGGACGGAATTGCAGCCAGATGCATACAGGTTCGACCGTAAACGCGGTCAGATACATTGAGGATAGCGCTAGTGTCTGCCCTCAGAGGGCTCTCTAGGTTGTTAAGACAAATTGGGGGTGTGGTCGGTGCTTTCATGTCAGTGGAGTCCTCTTTGCTGTGGTGATTTGTATTGTTATGTGGAAATTGCTGTGGTGCTTTCACGTCGAATACGTCTAGATGATATTTTGATTTTTAGTAAGACCCTCCGGGAGCAAAGGCCCTGTTTTTCCTCGGAAAAAATCAGGGCATGGTGCCCTTCGGTTTATTCTTGAAGCGGTCCTTTGGAGTTCAGTGTGTAATCACACCCAAATCTGCACGTATTCGACGTGAATCCCACGCCCATGCCTGTGTGTGTGTGTGTGTGTGTGTGTGTGTGTGTGTGTGTGAGAGAGAGAGAGAGAGAGAGAGAGAGAGAGAGAGAGAGAGAGAGAGAGAGAGA